AATACATGAAAAATTCCCTTCTTATATTAGAGAAACCTCCATCCAGGGACGGACGCTTCCCCACCCTAATGTAACCCAACTCAGCAGCTTTATCCGACAACATGTTGGATTCTCAGTGACTACAAAATATGAAGGCTGGTCAACCACCTGAATTTATTTAGGTGGTTGGGGAGTAACATAAAAAGGACCCCAATTCTTCAAGTTAAAAAAAAGAGGACAGAGAACAATACACCACAATTTTTATCCCCATTATAGCAGGGCTCCGATCAATTACACCAAAAATACACGCTCGTCAATTCGGTTGATCAATCGTCAACGTACATCAATTACACCAGGTCTCTGATTAGTCATACATCAATCAATTTGAGCCTCTGGTGTACGTTGATGTAGTTGATCTGGTGTATTTCAAGTGGGGCCGCCCAGTACCGAGTTCCCATGCCAGAATTTTCGAGTGAACAGCCCTTCTTACGCTGTCACTAATACCCTACATCACATTTCACGACCCACATCGAAAGTAATTGCTTAACAAGAACTATTTTAGCCATGTGAACTAAGCTTCACGATGGATGAAGCACTGGGAATTATTGCCGTGTAATTTTATCGGGCGGGGCGAGCCCGCCAATTTTCGCACTTCGTCTAACTAGGAGCTCATCAGTGACATATATATAAATCCATCTTTATGATCCAGCATGAGGACTTCCAGTTACTTTAAGTGGAAAATTCAGGTATTGTTGAGATCTGTTGAGAGTTACACACCATACAGTGTGTTCTTTAGGGCCTAGATATGTGTTGCTTGACGTGGTTTAACGCGCCTGAAAGGCGAATTCCAGCGCGCAAAGCGTTCATTCCCTGGACGTGCTGAACTTTCAGTCGCTTCCCACGCGTCAAAGTTTCTCCTGATAAAATCCAAAAAAATACAGTATGTGGCTAACAATGGCCAATTCTGATGTCATGCATACCTCTACATCTGCTGAGAGTGAGTGTGCATCGTGCTTGGAAGGAATGCCAACGCCAACTCCGTCCTCGCGAACCTCAACACCGGCCACACTAGCCCAGGATACACCAGTGGCACAGCCCACGGCAAACAGAAGAAGAAGCAAAAGTATTCAGCTGTAGTGGCGATAAGGTCTCCGAGACGCCGTCCGCTTCGCTGTTGGAGAAATCGGGTGAGCTGATGGACGAAGAGCGAATGTGGGGATAGCTTCACGATTGCCTAATTAGGAAGTCCTACTCTCGTCCACGCAAATCCACCTGGTGTACATCAATCGACGGAAGCGCTAGGTTGATAAACCCAACTGGGCCTTTGCTGACTAAAATACACGTACACTAAATCATGGGCTTCAGTGTACGTTGATGTAGTTGATCGGAGCCCTGATCTTAGTTGATACCCGTACACTGCACAAATACGGCGCGCATGTGGGAAGAAACACGAACATGAGTCACGACAGTTGTGCGTTTCAGCTAATTTGCCTAGCTATGCTCCACTGCATGACATTTCAAGTCCCTTTTCTCAAAAAGCATGACATCAATTTTGAACCCGAGCCTCTGACTTAATGCTGCATGCCAGCTCGCTCTGTTTCTTTCCAGCGTAAAGCTATATGGGCCAATTCTACTCCTTGCCCACCGCGTTAAAGAGCAGGGGGGGGGGTTCATAGTAATTGACGGGGGTAATGGGCGCCCCGCCCTTGTGGCACGAGTACCTCTTGGTATGGGGGCTAAACTAATGCTGCTCTGTGGCTGCAAATCAGCTAGTGTATATATGAGTACTGCTATAATTTAAGAAATCCCTTGAACTTTCAACACCGGCATATTACCATTTGCTTTTCAACTATTGATTTCGTGACAAGTTGGTCTTGAAATGTTGGACTGATGGTCCAGTCCATCTCATTTAGACTGGACTAGCAGTGTAGTCCAAATTCCGCAGACTAGACCATTAGTCCATAGACTAATAGTCTGGACCGCAGTTTGAACTATTAGTCCTGTTAATAGTCTGGACTATTGGGAGCCCTCTGTCACCAAGCCAACGTTGATGCTTGTCAAGGGCATCACGTGCGTGCGCACGTGATACTCCGAATCTGATTACAAGGAAGCTCCTTTTTCAACGTTTCTCTTCCTTTCTTGCGCTACGTCTTGTAAATCGAATCTAGTATAGATTTAGCCCAACGATACAATTTACTAAGCCTCTTTTGACGTGAAACCCTGACACCCTGCTCTGGCTCGGTTTGCACTCTCGTCGTCGGCCGTAGTGATGTTGTACTTCATGTCAAGGTCAAGTCGCTCATTCAAGCCAACAGCCATTGCTATACTGCTGCCTGCCAGACAGCAGTATTACAACAAGGATTTAGTTTCGTATTATTCCACTCTTTATGTAGAAAAAGGAAGAGTCTCTGGTTATTGCCCGAGCTGTCCCATACAATCGTGTGTCTGACAAAGGCTACAAGAACGATGAATGAAGATGAAAATCAGAGACGAGATGCTCACACCTCGTGGCATCCCACGCTAGAAGGAAGTCACCCTATCGGAATGCACGATAAATGAAGGCCGACTATACTTTCGAGAGAGACTGTACGTCCCCGAAGGTGAATTAAGGACTGCTCTCACCCAACTCGCCCACGACAGCGTCGAATCAGGCCACCCGGGGGAAAATAAACTATACGAAATCATCTCACGCTCCTACTGGTGGCCGAAGCTCAACGCCGACGCAAAACGGTTCACACGCAATTGCCACGGTTGTTTGAGAAACAAGTCCTCCCGACTTCGGTACCAGGGAACACTGAAACCCCTTCCGATTCCACTATAAAGATGTAGAGACCTATCGGTAGACTTTATCGGCCCATTTCAACTTCGACTTTATCGGCCCATTTCAACCCACCCCGCGCGGCTTTAACGCAATTATGGTCGTAGTTGACAGACTGTCAAAGGACAGACATTTCACGCCCTGCAGGACTGACATGAAGGCACACGACCTAGCCATGCTATTTGTACGAGATGTGTGGAAACTCCATGGCTTACCAGATTCCATTGTGTCCGATAGAGGACCGCTGTTCGTCTCAGAGTTCTGGAAAGCAGTCTGCCACCGATTACAGACCAACATCAGTCTTTCCACAGCATATCACCCTGAGACCGACGGCCAGACCGAAAACGCTAACGCGTTCCTCGAACAATACCTTCGTCAATATGTCAGCTTCGCTCAAGACGACTGGGATGAGTGGCTTCCACTGGCCGAGTTCGCGGCACGCAACGTTGTCAACGATTCAAC